TCTCTCTCTCTCTCTCTCCCTCCCGCACGAGTTTCTGCATTGCTTTTACAACTCAGGCCGTGTGCAGGCCGGGTGACTTATAAGTATGTCTCACCGTGATACCATCAAGACCCGTATCATTTTTGGGTTGTTAGTCTGGACCCCTGTGCAGTTTAGCCGCTCAATGACTGGTGGACGCACTGGTGCTGAAATCAAGAAGTTTTGGGTGCACGCGATGCAGCATACTGAGTGGAGAGATCATCCAGTACTCAATGATCCGAAAGCCGATTTGGAAAGCTACTCGAGAAAGCACACTCAGAGCTTGTTTTGTGTAAACCAAAGTTGACATGGTACCGTCATGTTAACGTCTTAAGAAGGAATTCTGCCGGTTGTTTTTCACGTGGACGGCGCAGAGTTCTACAAGAACAACGAATATGTTGTTTGGTCGATGAGCTCTATTTATGCAAAGGCTGATGTTCCTCGGCTTTGTTGAACTTTGTTGTGGCTTATACATCTAGACCCGAATGTCCGGAACCACAACGCAATAAATCTTGTAAACAGGTGTGGGATTGCAAGCTGCCGGTGTGCATCGTGCCGCATGTGGCTATGAGGGACGAGTCCGTGGCAACGCATGTCCACAAACGTGTTGCTGAAATACTAGCGTGGAGCCTGGAGTGTGCAGCGACCGGTTTGGGGCCCACAGCTGGGGAGGATGGGCTACCTTTTCAGAGTGCTTTCAGGCACCGACTAAAGGGGCAGGTTTTGGCCGACGGCTACAAGCTGGCATACACTGGCTTCAAAGCAGATATGAAGGCACACATGCAGGCCAACCGCTTTGAGCGGTACTACAATTGCGATTTGATCTGTGAAGCATGTTTTGCCGAGAAAGGAAAACCGAATAAGACGTGCCCCTTCACCGACTTCAGCGAAACTGCGTGCCATAGACTCACGCGCATTAGTCATGCAACTTACATGCGCACGGCCTCACATGTGTCACCATGGGCATGCGTGCCTGGCTGGAACTTGCATACGGTTCTGTTGGATATGATGCATATTCTTTATTTGGGTACGCTTCGGACTATGATTTCTTCGTGCATCGTGTTCTGGATTCGCTTCAATGCTCTTGGTGGTGGCACCATCGCTCAACAACTTTTGCGCTTGTCGCGCGAGATGAAGCAGAAGTGTCGCGAGAATGGGTCTACCAGCGGCACCGTTTCCGTAAACCTGACCCCATATATTGTTTTGATGCCTTTTTACCTTTAGACCCTAATGTCCCAGTGTAGTGTAAACTATAAACCCATTCTTGTGATTTCCCTACTCGGTAGTCTGTGCTGTAAATGCGCAATCATGTATGTGCTTTGTTTGGATCATCGCGAGGATACGACTGAATATCACCAGCTTCACTCCGAGCAATATTGGTATTGGGGGCGGCTTGAACGACAATCCCGAACTCTGCTCAACCTTTAAAGCAGCTGCTGTTAAGTCTTCACTGTGGTACTTGGCTTGGAAAGCCGAAGAAATTTCGAAAGCGCAACCGGAGGCATGTCAAGGGTTCGAAGGGTTTGGATTTCAAGGTTTTGGGCGCAACAAACATCCACCGATCCCTGCCAGGTACAGCCGCTGAAGTTCGTGTCGGTGTGCGTTTGGTCGATTCATTCTGCCGTTGTGCAGCTGGACCACGCTGCCTTGCTCATGGACGAGGACACCTCAAAGGTGGGGAACTGGGGAATGTGTTTCCAAACAGAAAAAAATTTTGACTTTGAAAATATATGCTTAGTTGTCTTGTTTCGCAGGTAGTATACCGGCATATTCGACGGCATCTCACTTGTTGGCAATGGCTGACGACTTTTTCACAATCGCAAGGCTGGCATTTGTGGCGACTGCGGCCGAAGCATCACTATTTCGATCATATTTCCGATTTCATTTTGAGAACACGGATCAATCCGAGCATCGGAGCTGTGTGGGAGGAGGAGTCCTTCTTAGGACGATTGAAAAAGATAGCTATCCGCTGCCATTCGGCCACTACAATGAAACGTTTGATGCAAAGGTATCTACTTTTGATGGGCCTCAGGCTCGAAGAGTCGCGTCGGGTTGCCTAGCGAGTCGGGTAAATAGCTTTCTCATAGTCCAACCCCCAAATACTAAGTCTAAGTACTTATAGTAGCATTTTCAGTAGGTTTCTACGACTTTAACCCTAGGCCGCAAGCTGAAGAAATCCGAGGGCCCGGGCCGGCTCTGCCGATCGGAGTACGCATCGTCCGCCACCAGAAGGAAAGGAGGAAAGGTTAGGGTTAGCTTGGTTGCATCTTAGCGGGGTGTCGGTCTCGATCTCTTAGCTAAGTACGGTTATAAAGATTCGCTGTACCCTAGAAACCCAGAGCCTTCAGGTACCTTATATAGTACCCTAAAGTTGTGCTACGTTCAATGACGAGATCGGATAGTATGCAATGGAAGCCCAAAATCAAGCCTGCCTATACGATGGGCCTTTTGAGTGAGTGCACTGCACCCCCCTATAAGCCCTGCAAGCATATGTACCCGGTAATGCTACAAGTAGCCCCAGGACGTGTGATTGCTTTCGCTGCAGGACTCTGAGACCTGTCGGTAAGCTGCTTATCGTGATATTATTTTGGGTTCAAACCCAAGGATTAACCCCTTGAATCTCGATCGACTCCAACCAGATCTGTGTAAAGGCAGAAAGTCCGACACCCGGTACCCTGAACCCTGATCAACCCTAGAACCTTGCACTTTGAGTCCGTAATGCTCTATAACCTGAAATTACGAGCGCCCCCAAGAAACAAATCCTGCTAAACTTAACCAACCATTTGTCATTCCCGTAATCATCGAAGCCTTCGACCACACAGTTAAAAATCTAGGGTATCAGGCTTGTGTTTCGGATTTTCAGTGGTTTTGAAGCATGATCACAAGTAGAAGTTGTTACTCTTTCGGGATCTATATTTGCAAGATACTGGAGCAGCACACCCTACATATATATATATATATATAGTAATATATAAAACATGTGCATACTAGTTTTTTTACGGCTCAAGCGGCTCAAGCCTCGAAAGGCTAAAGATCAAATCGTTCTCCCGCCACACGTCATCCGATGCACGGCTATATATATACGCATGTGACGTACGTCGACGCATGTTGACGCAGCGGCTTCCGTTGCGCAGCGTTTACGCTGAACATAAACATCTTAATATGGGTTTGTTTATAGATCTATAAACTGGTTCAAAGCGGCTCAAATCGAAAGGCTGAAGATCAAATCGTTCTATCAACGATCATGCATGCATGCATGCATGACTTCAATTATAAGCCGACGTACGTCGACGTACGTTGACGCAGCGGCTTCCCCTGCGCAGCGTTTACGCTGAACGCATGCGTGCACAGAAGCATGAATTTTAAGCTGTCTAGCAGCTGAATTATACAAAGGCATGAGAATTGTACCTTTAAACCAATATTCTTGGGAATGAAACAGGATCCGACCTAGGATCCATTTGTGACTATCACAAGCTGACGTATGACCAACGTGGCTGACGTAGACTGACGTAGCTGACGTAGACCGACGTAAGCTGACGTAGACCGACGCAAGCTGACGTAGACCGACGTAAGCTGACGTAGACCGCAGCTGCTCTTGGTATGCGTCGATGTCCTCTGTTTAGCTTTGGATCCTATCGGGACACAAGTCAAGAAATACGTGACCGCAAACTACGACACCAACAACGAGACCGCCCAGCGCATGCAGACCCTCGAGGAACAAGCCGCAAAGTACAAGCAACGACTACGCAATGCAGGCATAGACGTAACACCCACCAAAGCCCTACCACTCCAAGATGGCAGTCAACAGTCGGATCCTCCACACACC